ATCTGGTCTGCACTGTTTAAAGTCTACATTTTACTCTACATTTTCCATGTACCCAGAAAGTATTTTCAAAAGAAGACTGATTAAAATTTTGTGATAAAGTCACAGAATTAATCGGTTCAACATATACGATCCTGAGACTTCATGCGTTGTTCGGGCAGCTCCGTACTGCAGTTACGGTGGCTGAGGACAGACTAAGCTGCTGGTGAGGAACCCATCCTGGAGGCCGTATATCAAAGAGCTATCCTGTGGAGGACAGCTAAGCACACCTTGTTGTGTGCCCTATAGGATCACAGGAGGAGAAGGTCCCTTCTAATGCAGGGATTAATGAATTGTCCTGTAGAGCCCAGCATGCTCTTCTGCGCTGTCGTCGCTTACTTACGTGACGGGAACTTGCTGATGTTGTTGGCTACACGTATAAGCATACGTGCTCCCTTCATGTGATCACCGCGTTTCACGTGAGTCTGGAATACAACAAACATGTCGAATTAACTGCAGCCTTTAGAGAGTAATTCCTGCAGCTTGCTTTTGCCGTTCATCCTTCTGGGAGCTGCACACCCGCAGCGCGCTCACAAAACTGCGCAGAGGCGCATCACGCACGCGAGAAAGGACCAGAGACTTCATAGCAGCTCTTTCCCAGAACAGTTGTTCTGGCCTTCAGCCCACTATTTGCCTGCTCTTGCCTTGCTGCTGGCAGAGAGGGAGGCCAGAATGGATATCCTGATGGGCTATGGGTTAACTACTAGAAGTCACTTAATTTCGTTTACAGAAAAGCAGTGATCTGCTTATGGATAATGGTAATAATAATAATAGTAGCATAACATTTGTAAGGATGAATGCAAAAGAAATACAGGAAGCTGTATGTAGATTTTTAATTATTCAGTGTTTTAAAATAATCAAAGAGGCAGAAATAACCATGGATTGTCCTCCTGAAGCTTGCTGTGAGCGTGCACTTGGGCTCTGTAATACAACATACATGACAATGTAGTTTATGTATACAGAGCATCCATACGTACACTTCAATAAATCAGACTGTGCAACTTACACATGAATTCAGTTTTTTGATTCATTACCTTCACTAAAATGTAGCTGTGTAGAATCATAAGGTTTGTAGCCATCTCAGAAGGAATTTTAATCTTCTGGGTCTTTAGCTCTGAATACATGCTGAAAAGAACATCATGTGCATTTCGGTAGTTTCCTTAAAAACAAACAACACTGAAGATTAAATTTTCAAAATAATTGTAATTTCCTTACTATCGACATATGCAGAAGCTGAACAGGAATTTAAGTTGATTCTTAGAGCAAAACTTTTCAATGACAGTTTCTTTGGAAAGTCACAAGCAGTTGCTTGTCAGAGTATCCTAAATATTATCAGCCAGGGAGTTAAATAAGAAAAAAATTAAACTCGGAGAAGTCATCTAAACAGTAGGAAAATATGTATGTGAATGACAATTTCATATAATGAAACTTTAAAAATGGAAGATGATGTATCCAGTACATTGCTTGTACAATAAAGAGGAGAAAAGGTATTTTTAGAGCATTTAGAGATGTTACCTCTTTATGTTCTTCATTGTTTAAATGTTAATTTAACATACATTTACTTTATCATTTGCTTTGGCAACTCCTTGCCTCTGCAACCAAACAAACCCAAAAACTTTCAGAAAGATAATTAAAATTTGAATGTTGATTCACTAGATTATACTACTTCAGGATTACTATAAAGGATAGTCCAGAAACCACAGGATTTCACTAAATTTCCAACATAGCTGAAAACAACCAATGTTTAGCATGGCTAGTCTACTCTTAGATAGTTGGAGGCATTTAAAGGAAATTTCAGATTTAGTCATAGAATCATAGAATCATAGAATGGTTAGGGCTGGAAGGGACCTTCAAAGGTCATCTAGTCCAACCCCCCTGCAAGGAACAGGGATATCTCCAACTAGATCAGGTTGCTCAGGGCCTTGTCCAACCTGGCCTTGAACGTCTCCAGGGATGGAGCATCCACCACCTCTCTGGGCAACCTGTTCCAGTGTTCTACCACTCTCATAGTAAAAAATTTTTTCCTAATATCCAACCTGAACCTACCTCCCTCTATTTTAAAACCATTACCCCTTGTCCTATCATAACTGGCCCTCCTGAACAGCCTCTCCCCATCTTTCCTGTAGGCCCCCTTGAGGTACTGGAAGACCGCTATAAGGTCACCCCGGAGCCTCCTCTTCTCCAGGCTGAACAGCCCCAACTCTTTCAGCCTGTCCTCATAGGAAAGGTGCTCCAGCCCTCTTATCATCTTCGTGGCCCTCCTCTGGACCCTCTCCAACTGGTCCATGTCCTTCTTATGTTGGGGACTCCAGAACTGGACGCAGTACTCATATCAGCAAACTTTTTTAAACTCTCTATCAGCAAATGTTTTTACTCTGTAGAGCAATTTTTTCTGTGTTGTTACAAACTGCAAATGAATCAACCTGTGGAATTGGTGTGAGGTAGCCAAATATTGCTCCAGAATCCATTGCTGGAAAACAATATTAATTTTTCATGCTGTGTTACTGACTCTCAGTATAACATGATCGGTCTTTAAACCATGTGATTACTTAAAAACAACTTAAAGGAAAATTGCATATAAAATGGCATACCCGAAGGAAAACACCAAACAGTATGACTTAAATATTATTTTTAACATGGATTTTTAAGGAAAGAATAAAGTATATTGGTGTAAACTTCAGAATCAAACTCACTGAAATCTCCTGAAGGAAGAGGGGGACAATCTAAAACTGCACCTCTGCGGAGGAAACAGTTACTGCAAGACTGGTGATTTTAATGAGAAAAACATTGTGCTTATTATGACACTGTTGCAGAACACATCTGTACTATTAGGGAATATGAAATACAGTATGGGATACTGCATTTTATATACAAGTTTTCAGATTCAGAGAAGCTAGTAAATATTTACAGCCTTGAGCCTTTGCATTTCGTGCTTACATAATCAGCACAAATGCATTATTCACCGCTACGATGAACTGGGAGATCATGCTTGCCAAGGGTTTAAGAGATTTTCCACTCCTTCAGCCAATGCTGAGGAGCAGTCCATAAATGTTAATTTGCCTGGGCTATTCCTGAGGCTGCTATTTTTCCTTTATAGATATTTTTCTTAACTCACTTGAAACGAAAAGCAAGCAGTGTTATGGTAGGGCTGTTGCTATGGCTACAGAGGGGCGCGAATAATGGAGGCGACAGCTATTTGGTTTCCAGCCCTGTCCCTTCTTATTACTTTTTCCCATTTCTAACTTCAGCTCCCTATTACAGGGGAAAACAAGGCTTAAGGGAGCAGGTGCCTGATCCTTCAACAGAAATAATCTCCTGTGCACATCTCCCACTGAAAAAAATAATGTGCAAAGATTAAAGGATCAGTATCTAAGCCGGAAACCGCACGTAGAAACTGCAATTCTAAGATCATGATACAGAGAAAAGTAAAGTTGCAGACAATCTTAATCACCATTTACTACTTGAATGTAATGAGGAATGCAGATATTTTCCACAATTTTCTTTTTTCCAATATTTCATATACAGGTATGAGTCTCAATCTTTTAACAAAGGCTACTTCAAATTCAAAATTAAACTTGAATGTAATTGAAAGCACTGATGCATGTCTTTTCTAAGTATAACCCTACACAAATAATGGTACCTTAAGTATGACAAGGATGTAGTGTCAGAGGTGCTGTCATACCAGAGAGAACAGACTTACCTGAACACTGCTCCTCTCTGGCAATTATTATAGCAGTTCTGGTAGCTTCTCTGTGTTGCTTTAGTGCCATGTATAAGCGGAATAGGTACTTGGCATCCTTAATTAAATCATACAAAAGCAATTAATTCTACCTGAATACATTCTGCAGTATTCCCTTTCTTTACTTGCCCATCCCACCACTGCATTCTTCACAGAAAGCAGACAACCTGGCTTGTTTCATGAAGACCTCTTTGGATCAACACGTTCTAGCTACGCTGCCTTCCCCTGCAAGTTTGGCCGTTAACAGCGTCAGATAAACGCTCGTGTTGAGGAGCCCGATTGCATCGTGGCAGCAGAAAGCTGCAGGCCGTTAGGCACAGAGAGCTGTACAGGTGGAAACCCAACAGCTTCAGACATGTAGGCATTTTTGGTGTCAGAAAAGAACCAAAGGACTCCTTTCAGACATCGAAATCTTGCTAGAAATGTTTAAATTGCGTTATGGATCTAGGTGCAAACATTGCTTAGTGTGGGTAAGGATGACAAAATCTGGCTGTTAAAAAGTGTATTGTTCTGGAACCAGATGGTAGACATCCAAGATAGCTAAAAAATTTAAAGTTAAGGGGACAAACAAAATGCATAAAGTTTATAATTTTCTATACTATGTACTGTTGATATACTACATGATTGAAGGATGGCAAATGTAGCAAAGGGTTCACCCAAGAAATGGCAATCCAACAGACGGAAAGTTAGTGAAACAATTGAAAAACAAAACTTTAAAAAAACAAGATGTCAGTATTGAAGAAAACAATCCTGAGTTCTCTTTTTGTAAAGCGTGCTCAAATTTCTAGCAGACTAGTAAAAAAAAAAAATCAAACGAGAAAAGAGAATTGGTCTTTCATAAATATTTTTAGAAAATCATCGAGGTCATTCCTAAAAATACAGCTAAAATACAAAATAATGACTTTGCTTATGATGAAAAGGAACTATTATGTGAAAAAAACCCGAAGTTAGTGCCACTATTTTATATCTTCAGCAGTGATTTCTAAAATGGGATCAATAAAAACTAAACTCTGTACATGATAATCTTTTAACTAGTAAATAAAGATCAAATTAAGCTGAAATATTGTATATAAAGGTATGGTTCCAACTTAACTACACAAATCAGAAAAAAAAAAGACACTGGTAGCTTTATAGACAGCTTAGCAAAAAACCCAAACCAACTAATTCTGCAATACTGTAGTAAAAACAAACACGGTGTGTATGTATTCTATGTGAAAATGGTATCAAAATTTCTTTAAAAAGAATTGTATTTATCAATGTGCTGTTCTCTAGAATACTGTTTTGTATGTTTTGCATGTAAGTCTCAAACACATAGCAAAAAAAGCAAATTCAAAGGAACAGAAATACGAAAAATATAAAGACATTTCATTATGAAGAAGATGGCTGCAAAGATAAACTCCCTCCCTGAGAGGCAAGGCAAAAAAAATGAAAAATCACAGAAATAAAAGCAAGAGAGAAAAACTGGCATATAGAAAGAAAAATGGCAAGTCAAATTCTTTTTAACTTGCAATATAAGGGAAAACATTTAGTGACCAAAAGTAATTACTTTTAAAATAATGATGGAGCAGAATTTTAAGTAGCACATGACCAAAAGGTTGAACATTGCAAGAACTATAATTTAATAACAATGAAATAGAGTAACCACGACTACTTATACTAGTGGATATTATTTATCTACAGTAAACTGCCTTAAAAAGGAAAATTGCTATTTCCTGAGTAGGGTAAAACAAAAATTATCATGAATGGTAGGTTATGATGTAATTATTCCCAATTTCTGACACCTTCTAATGACCACAGATGGCCATTTCACTGATGACAGCAGAAGGCTGCACTTCTTCCCCATTCAGGCTGCTTCTCCCTTTTCTCCTGTCGCAGCAGGAGAAGGATTCTGTCCCAGCATGGACCAGTGGTCTTATATGGTATTTGGCATGTCCCTAATTATATTTTACTTAAATAATATATTTCAATGACCTACATGGCAACCATATGTAGAAAAAAAAAAAGTAGAAGGGATTTAAGAAAAATTAGTCTCATGTTTTACTTTCATATTCTTACCTTTAAAGTTGACCATTTTAAAAGTAAAAAATGCAGGAAGGAATTTTCAATTGACAACACATTTCCTAAGGTCTTCGGAAAAATTTATTATTGCAATCTAACTGATCTTAATATTAGATAGCCAGGATCTTAATTTAGTTTTGCTTTTTAAAACACGTACTTAGAAAATATGCACACAGAAAACAGCAGAACCTTGCTAGTTAACACTCCCTGAAAAATTACAAAAGAACACACATGACAAATTAAAAATCTTTACGTGTCAAAGTTAACAAATACAATCATTGACATAACAAAGCATTTAACAAATAGTTTATAATTAGTCAGGCAATAGTGTAGAAAAATTTTGGCAAGTATAGTAATTTTGATAATACGGTACTTCATTAAAATCCCACATAATTGTTGGCTGCAAGATTTAAAGTAATCAGGCTGCTGTGAGCAATGACCTGGTTTGAATATTAGCAAGTTTCTGCTGCATGGCTACTTTAAGTTCACTTTTACTTTCAGCTTTACAAAAATACCACCACATAAAAGCTGCTATTCTCTAAAAACAACCCCATTTGCTTGATAATTTCAAAAACACTGTCTCCATGGCATAATAAGGATAAAGATGAATTGTTTTTTAAGCAGATTTTTAAAACAAATATGTATGATTTGATAAAGTAAAATTTTGTTACTCACTGAGAGAGACTATGGCAGATTGGATTAAAGCATTAAGAACAAGAGAGAGCTTTTAAACAAGGAAAAGAAAGCTCTACATTGAAGTTCAAAACAATGTCAAATATGGAAATTACAGCATTCACAAAATTCTTAAGTGTTTTCTAAAATCTTTAGAACCTCTTCACTATGGAGATCATACTGTAGCTCACTTCCCTTATCCAGTCCTGTGCATTTCTTTCAAAAAGATGGCTAGGCTGCTACTCTTCGAAAAGAGGATGCTACAGTTTCTGTCCACCCAACTTCAGCACAAACATGAAATTACTTTTGTTTACACTGATGCTGCACAGATTTTTTCATCTAATGCTTCCAACAGCTTCATTCTCTTCTGGTCTCTTGCAGTTGAATTTTGTTACCCTATGTTTTGCTTCTCTCGTCATTTTATTAATGTTCACATTTCAAATTACAGGTAAATAGAAAGAGGTAAATAATAGAGTTTTGGGTGGGTTTTTTGTTGTTGTTGTTGTGTTTGTGTTTTTTTGTTGTTTTATAAAAGAAAGTTGGCTTGCCCATCAGCTGTCCAGTGTCTCTAAAAGTCTAAAATACCAAACCCTTAATCTCTAGGTATCATGCAAACAGGAAAGAGCCAGAATTTCTAATCTCCCAACAGAATCATAAACCACAGCTATAGTATCAGGGGTGAAATAAACTTACTGCACCAAGACTATGTCATCTCCATCGTTACCAAACCTTATTCCCCTCAGTAAAGCAGAACCTATTCTTCCATACATATAATTTTGCACCTGACTGTATTTACAGTGCGTTTGTATGAGACCTTAGATTCCTTGACTAAGGAATTAACTGCAGACTGCAATGTCCGCACTGGAGGCCTGGCTTTCATAGCAGAAAAACATGGGTGCAGCGCCACTTAGCTCGCATTCAAGCTCTGCTGTAATAGTCAGTAAAACTTGAAGTGGCTCAGCGACACAGTTCCATGAACTCAAGGTCAAATACGACTGAACGTGCCATAAGCTCTATGGAGTGTGCAGCCTGTTTTTCTATAGCTCAAACCTAGAGAAACCAGAGAGCCCATCAGCAGTCACTCTGCAAAAGAGCTGGTTGTCATCTTAACCTCAAATGCTGCTGTTCTGAATGTCTAATGTCGTATTTACAGTGGACATTTTTAATCTGTCCTGGGGAAAAAAAATCGTACCAATGGAATATGGTCAAAAAATCTACTTGTATATATAGCACAGATCTAATCTACGTTCTGCTTAGTTTGTGAACGAGCCTCTTTTATTATCAAACCTATGGCATTGGCAACTAATACACAAAAATCTGTCAGCAAGTACCTTCCAACTCCCAAATCCGTATATACAAGAGAGAAAAAGAGGAAATAGCCTACCCATCTGCCAAAAGCCTTTTATTACACCCAGTGAATGGTTTGCTTTTAACAAAGAGGCAGGAAACCCAGAAGAAAGGGTAATGGTCTTTTATAACATGACATTAAAAGAAGCCTCATAGTACAGAGCACCTCTTATCTCACAACACACTTCCTAAATAGAATAAAAGAAAAAAATGTAAGGTTCTAAGGATCCAAAGAAGATTTTTCTATTACAATGATGAGTGAAAACATAAAAAAAAAAAAAAAAAAAAAAAAAAAAAAAAATCAGTGTCCACAGTATCTTGTTCTCCTATTGTTAATCAAACTTCCATGTTAGGAAGGTCTGTCACCAAAAATCTTCAAATGTGCTTCCTGTTTTTTAAAATTTTCTATAATAAATTAAATATGTTATTTTATTTTCCAACACAGAACAGAAACTCTGGTTTAGTTTATAGAACTACAGCCTATATCTGCAAATGAAACTGATTCCATGAATAATCAATTCAAACTTTAAACTAAATACTTCTACATAATAAGAAATCAAAAAAGAAATTTTTTTTTTAATAAGGTTTAACTGTCATATGGACATCCACATAAGCTGTTACATTTTCAAGTGATCTCAGTGGCAAATTTTTGAGTTGCTTTAGGCTAAGCTTGTTTTGAAATTGTGGTCATTAATCACTTCAGAAATCAACAGGGAACTGGTAATTTTGAAAATCTGTCCACAACTTTTTATGTCTTATGTTGCCGTGTGAACACAGGAACTAATGTAGCCTGATCATCTTTGCATTTTTGTCCTTCTTCTCCTATTTACTACCTTCCTTTCTTCCACTGCAACAGTTAGACCAACTCGCCACACTGCAAGAAGAGATCGGTGCTGTAGTTAGTCTTGAGAATCGCACATGCTGACTGTCCATCTGGGAAAGGCAACAACCAGCTGGCTAACTGGCATGAACAAAAAGCAAAGTTTTGTCTCTTTATGAGTGTTATTTTTGAATCTCCTCTGTCCAACTATCTGTTTTCATAAAAGCTTAGAGAAAGATGATTCTATCTAAGACAGTTACTTCCTTATCTTTCTGAAACTGAAGTTACTGGGTGAATGACTCAAAAAGTGATCATGTAAGCCTTGCTCCTTAATGAAACCAAGCTAAACCACAACCTACCAAAAATTTTAGGACAAAATAAGCTCAAAAGACCTTGTAGCACAGCAACGTGACACAATAGCAGTGATAAAAATACAATACCTTAGGCATGCCATCACTTTCTCCCATAAGATAGTCTATCAGCTGATTTGTTAAGGCTTCATCTTTTGCCCGTCCCACCTATTAAATAAAGACAGAAGAAATTATGATACAAAACAGAAAAGAAAAATACTTCCTCATAAGGAGGCTTTCCATAAAAACACCGAAACTAGATAGATTTAAATATCCTTTTCTTTTTTTCAGTTCTGTGTGTTCAAATCAGATGATTACTTAGTTCATCAGCTTGGACGTGCAGTAGTTCATATTTATTTTCTCATGTGTTATGTCAGGGGATAATAACTAAATAGGCCTCTACCAGCATGAACTGTTCCTCTGCTTAAGCGTTGGGAAAGTGTCTGAATCTAGGGACCATAAGCTGAAGCCTGCTGTCACAAAGCTATGTCTATCAACCCAGCACAATCTGTGTCTCAGAGGAATATTCAGTGCTGGTCAGTAGAACAGAGCCAGCACTATCTGGTCAGTTGAAGAGACAGTCTCAAAAATATGTCTGAGAAGTTGAGATTCCACAAGGATACATATGGTCCAACTGCAGCAAGAGTCTCTGGGCTGTATCATAGCCTTTGGTTTATTATCTGGGCTGAAGCATCTGATCCAGAGAAAAGCATTAGACACCTCAAACTTCAGTCTTATGAGCCCTGCCAACAGCTCTGTGAGATGGAAGGCCTCAAGAGCAGCTGCGCTAGCTCTAAGCAGAGTCAGGTCTACTGTTCTGGAGTCAGAAACTCCAGCGATACCTAACAAGATTTTCAAAGCTGTGGGTTCTTCAAGGGAACAGAGTCAGTCTGAGTATGGTTTGGATGACAGAAAGTGAAAGTCGCAGTGGATGCTTAGATGAAAGCTGGCAATAGGCCTGCTTAGGCAGGTTTCTAGCATATTGTCTAGAACAGAATCTCAAGAAACATAGTAGGCTCACACATACTGAGGTGCACAATGAGCTGGAGACTTGATGACTACAGAATTTTGGATATCATGAGCAAAATAACTAAGTAAAGATTGCTTCATCCCAAATTTCTTCTTTTTTTAGGGACGGAAAAGAGATTTTTAGAGATAATAAGGGTGAAAGCCAAAAGGTGCTAGCAAGACTGACGCTGCAATTGGTCTTCTGTCTGATAGTGGCAGCTGTGAGCAGTGAGCAGTAGATATCGTCTACCTTGACTTCAGAAAGGCTTTAGACATTGTCTCCCATAACATCCTCATGGGGGAGCTGATAGCAGTATGGCTGGATCAGCAGACAGCGAGGTGGACGGAAAACTGGCTGAATGGTCAGGCCCAGAGAGTTGTGATCAATAATACAAAGTCTAGCTGAAGGCCAGTAACTAGCAGTGTCTCCCAGGGGTCAATACTGGGTCCAATCTGATCTGGATGATGGGGCAGAGTGCACCCTTAGCAAGCTTGCTGATGACAGAAAACTGGGTGGAGCGGCTGATACACCAGAGGGCTGTGCTGCCATCTGAAGAGTGCTTCACAGGCTGGAGAAATGGGACGACAGGAACTTCAACAAAGGGAAGTGCAAAATCCTGCACTTGGGGATGAACAAGCCCACGTGCCAGTACATGCTGGGAGCCACCCAACTGGAAAGCAGCTTTTCAGAAAAGGACCTGGGGGTCATCAAGTGGAACATGAGTCATCAATCTGCCTTTACAGCAAAGGCGGCTAATGGTATCCTGGGCTGCATTAGGAGAAGTGTTGCCAGCAAGTCGAGGCAAGTGATTGTTCCCCTCTGCTCCAGGTGAGGCCACATCTGGAGTGCTGTGTTCAGTTCTAGGCTCCTCAGTACAAGAGAGAGATGACATACTGGAGAGAGTCCAGCAAAGGGCCACTAAGATGATGAAGGGCCTCAAGCATCTCTCATGAGGAAAGGCTGAGAGAGCTGGGACTGTTGAGGCTGGAGAAGAGAAGGCTTGGAGGGGATCTTGTCAATTACATAAATACTTAAAAAGAGGGCGCAAAGAGGAAGGAGCCAGACTCTCTTTAGTGGTGCTCAGTGACAGGACCAGAGGACAGGACAGGACAGACCATGTTCATGAAACACCATGAAGGCTCCATCTGAACATCATGAAACACATTTTTACTGGGAGGGTGACTGAGCACTGGCACAGGTTGCCCAGAGAGTTTGTGGAGTTTCCCTCCTTGTTGATACTCAAAAGCCATCTGGACATGGTCCTGGGCAACTGGCTCTAGGTGGCTCTCCTTGAGCAGGTGGGTTGGACCAGATGACCTTCACAAGTTCCTTCCAATCTCAACCATTCTCTGATTCTGTGACAGAGAGCGAGAATGGAGGCATACTGACCTCTCTAACATAGTGTGCAGACTGGAAAAAACAGCAAAACTGAAAAATCATATATGGATTTTGCTAAAAAAGAAAATTCCAAACTCAGGTGTCTCTGACACACAACCACAAAAATCTGAATTAATTCATAAACTCTCATTTGAAGACTGAAAACACGTTTTCCTCTGGTGTCAGTATTAACTTATTCTACTTTTTTAATGTTTAGATATTACGTTTACTGATGCAGTTTTCCTTCTATTTGCAATCTGTCCAAACACAGTGACTCTAGCAAAATGTCACAATACTGAAGATAAGTGAAGAATTTTCTGTTTTATCAAAGATTCTTACTGTTTCAATTGCCATTTCTATAGCCAAGTTATCTTCTGTGCTCGGACTTTTCATAAAGTGCTTTAAGGCCTAAAATGATACAGAAGAAAAGTTAAAACTGAGACATATGAAATGAACATGTTCCGAATTTTTTTCACGTTATTTCTGCATTTTGACAGACAAGTGGCACACTGAATGCTTATCTTGACTGTATTTTACAGCCATAAGGATAACCACATATACTCATAGAGGTAGCAGCTGCTCTTACACATACTTCTGCAAGAAAGAAGAGTTCAGTCTTTGCCAAATTCAAATTCAATTCAATACCTTCATGTACCGTGAAAGATATTCACAGCAATACGGTGAGAAGAAATTAATGACTTATGTGCCATTGGACTGCCCCTATGCCCCAGCTGAAGGAGTGGTCACCTACAATGGCTGTAATTTGCAAAAATCAGTAATATTTTTTTGTTATGTGTTCAGTATGCAGAAGTCAAACATTTAATAAGCATCAGATCACTAATTTGTCACTGATCAAAAGGAAGCGTGTCCACTGAAATACTTCAACGAATATATTTTCTTTTTTTTAAAAAAAGGCTTTAACTTAGGTTATGCTATGGTATTACATGAATTAACTAGTCAGCAACCAAGTCTTCATTGGTCAAGCTAATAAAACATAAAAAAATTCTACTTGTGTGTTCATGACATGTAGAGATTCATTGAGAATAGTATATCATTGATCAACCTGGAGCCGCTACTGCTATGAAAGAGTCATATGCATGGCAGTGTGTAATTCACAGAATACAATGCAGATAACTGTAAATATAGATAACTTACATTTTTTACAATTTTAAAAAATATCAGTATGTCATCAGTTAAGGCAGCCAAAATCTACAATCAACTTCCCTGATTTTGAAGTATTGTATTTTGAACAGTTTCTATGAACATTTAACTATCACTGTTTTATCCTTTATGTACTTACCCGTCCGTATTGACCGCACAGCAAGAAAAATCTTCCCGCCTGAAAATGTTTCTTTTCTCCTTCAAAATACAGTGCAATGCTCTGATAATCTTCATTGGTAGCACTTTCAGAACCTGCAACAGACACATAGCAATGACAGCAGAGTATTCTTACAAGTAAGAATATAAGTAAGATAAAGGCCCTACTGAAGGAATAAATTCCTATTCTGTGTTTTTTTTTCTGCTGACATTCAAAAAACCTAAAGCCAGCCAGACTCGAATTGTGTCTTATACATTTTTTCCTATTTAATCAGACTAAATTTCAGACATTAGGAGCTAATATTACAATGAAATAATTCTTTCTATAGGTTTTACACCATAATGGGATTTCTGTTTTTTTTTAACACATAATAAAATGGCATAATTATGACATACTAATCAATTATTCCATTACGTCTTGGCAACGATAAAGCAGAGCAAATGATTATGAGATTATCACCTGAATTACTTTCACAGTTTAAGAATACGTGAGTACATTTGTATCAAACAGAGCAAGACTATCAGGACCAATGTAACCATGTGGCAGCAGGGAACACTACTTAGTCTTCTAAACAAGACTCCATTTTACTGTACACATCTGAAACAAAGACAGCCAATCTTCCAAAGTTAGTTTTAAACTCTTTTGCCACCCACGTAGATTACAATTTGAGAAATCCTATTTCGGACAGGAGAGAAAGAAGAAAGCATAATAGCAGCCACTTTGACAAGCAGTTGCAACAGTACATCACCAAGCTAGTTGTTGCCAAGTTTTTATAACCTTCATAACAAGAATATGTTTTTAAAGGAAGAGATTAATTGAAAATATGAGATAATTTGGTAGATACGTATGTGGAACTGTTTCCATAGAGAATGGTGCCTGACACAGGTGAAAAATAGGAAATTTTTGCAAATTGACAAGCTGACCACTGAGTGACTTGATGCCTGATGTAAAAGTCAACTTGTCAGTAAGGTCTCCTTTTCACTCTCACTGAGATAAGAGTAGGCCACAATGGGCCTTAAAGGGAAAAAAGGAAAGACAAGTGACATACACATGTAAGAAAAGAGCCGGAACCATGAAAAAAGAAAAAGAGGCGTTAAAAATCAAGAACCGTACCAGTAAAATTCTCAGTTTTGGAAAAGCAGTACTACATACACCGAGGTCACTGAGAGGCATTCTTCAACAGACCAGTCTAGACAAATGCTTTATCTCTATGGATAAACAGGAAAAGTTCTAGCACAGGCAAGATTCGAAAATAACCTAGACTGAAGACCAAGGGAGATAATTTAGCTGAAAACAAAGCCTGGCTTATAGGCCTCAATTAGACACAGATTGCCAAATCTGTCCACAGTGACTGGAAATGGAAAATGCTGGGAAACAAAACACATCCCTTGTCTTATGGTTTCAGATTGGTCTAAACCAATTAAAAGAACCACAAAACACATTGCATGCAAACTATTAACCTGGAATACTCACTGATGATATCGGCATAAATCTCCATCTTGTTGTGTTGTTGAGCTAATGTGAAAGCTTCGTTATTGCACTTGGACATGAGCAGGAACTGGATGGCAGAACCATAGTCACCAAGTTGCAGAAAGAACCTAATCAGAATGAACACATTAATATCATAGTACTAATTAGCATAATGAATACACCAAACACTTTAGGAATATAGTATATTTTGTGGCATACAAATATGATAAGTTTCTCATTTATTTTATATCTCTATTGTTTTAAATCGGTTACTGAAATTAACAGGATAAATAATACAGCATGGCAACTTTTATTATTGTCTAAACTTATTACTTCAGGTTAATATAATTTTAATCAGAAAGCTTTTGAAAAAAATAATAATAAAAAAAAATCAGTACCTCCTTAGCTGTCCAAATTTTAGAGAACTCAAATCAAGAAACAAATATACAGTCACTGGCCAGTACCAACAACCAGAGCCTGATACGTTAGCAAGCTTCACCAACTTCCAATAGGTATGGCTTCTTTCATCTTTTTTTTTAACTTGAGCAATATGAGTGTTACCTGGCCACCATCTTTGCTCCATCGAGAGACTGTGTTTCTCTCACAATATCAACAGCCTTTTCAGGATTATTAAGGTGATCCAAATATAGCCGAATTACACTGTCCCACTGTTTTGCATGCTCATAAGCTATCACAGCTTCCTTGTACCTGCAAAATAACGGTTCCACATCAGTTTTTCTAACTTTTTAATTACTCCTTACAATTCAGTGTGAAAGAAACATACAGTATTTTATTTCTGAGAGGTTACTCTGTGACACTTTCCTTTCAGTTTGCATATAACAACCTTGTTCTGCATTTACTGTGGGTTTTTTTTGTCTCTATTTCATTTTCTTTTGGGAGAATGAAAGGCAGAGACAACAGAAAAATGTCTACCACAATACTATTTTTGACCTAGTCTCCCAGCATCTCTTTTGGTATTATCTTAAAAGTGGTTAATCTGTTCCATCAGTAAACATCATCTGTTCCATCACTTCCATGTGAAATTACTCGGGAGTGAGAGAACAATAAAAAACAAATAGATGATAAGTAGCTGTACAATTTTAAAAATGAGACTTCTGTTCTGTAAACAAGATCAAGAAATTTCTCATTCTCACGCTATGCAATTGACACAAACAGTATTTTTCTAGTGTCATCAACGCAAACATTTAGCTTTGGTGCTGTTTCATATTAGAAAATATTATTCTGAAGCACATTTACTTACAGGTAAGGACTAGTAGAAACTACATTCTGTGATTAAATATAATTGTTTTAGGCTTTCATTTCAGTCAATAATTTCACATTAGTCAATATTTTGCAAGTGCAGACATTAAGATGTAACAGCAATTTGGTTCTAGAATGAAAAACCTTCATTCATGATTATTCTCCCTCTGAATGACCTTTAAGAATCACAGGTAAGGAGTCGTTAGAAACAAACAGAACTTCAATATTCTGCTAAGTGGAACATTGCACTGGTTGTAGTACTTTAAAACCTTTAATTATTTTTGTTAAAAAGATATTAATGCTTAGACAGAAAAACTATAAATTAGAAACACATCTTTGATAATAGTGGAAGGTCCGTAGATAATGTTTACAATCTCAGCACAACACCTTAATACATATTTCAGAATCCATTTTCACAAGGCTATTTTACGCAAAGTTTAAAGTCTGTCTTTATTGTGTATTACTCTTTCACAAAAAGAGTAATACACAATAATAATAAAAATAATAACATCTTTTATTAAAAAAGACAAGCATTCAAATGCACCTGCCATCTGCTTCTTTGGCCTTTGCGTATTGTAAATGAATCTTTGGAGATGAAACATGCGGAAGAAGTTCACCAACCTTTGCCCTAGAAAGACAAGACAATAGTTATTTAATAAATAAATCTGGTTTCAAATTTTCTCCAGTAAAACAGTCTTATTTATATCAACACTAAAAAGGAGGCTAAAAAAGAAGTAATTGAACATAATGTAGAAGCTTTGAATGTACTTTAATATTTTCAAAAAGCTACACTTTACAGATGTAAGACCTGAAAATTATAGACTGTTTCATGAACATATAGGCTTAAAGAAGCCCAGTATCTTCTCTAAGTTTGAGATGTATGAGCATAAGAAGCGCCAGACCAACAATTTTTACCTCTAGTATTCTCTAATTAAGCTACAGAAGCAGCACAGTATTAAGATTGTAACCTGAAAGAATGTGCAAAAGAGTACAAAAGACCACCAGTACAGCTACAGTTGTGATTACTCCCATGATTGTGCGCTTAAGACCACAGGTTGTACAGAGGACTGCAGGCAACTAGAAGCAGATTCTCTGAGCAACAACATCCCTAAGAGCAGAGTGAGGACACAGAACTATGTCAGTCCTTCCATAAATCTAGCTTCGGTAGTCGCACACGGTGATATGATCTATTAAAAGCCAGCAAACCAAGCAGTGGGCCTTTCACGAAAAGGATACGAGAGGCTGAAGGAAGGCTGACCATAAACCTCACCTCTCTGCCTCAAAGACAGGAGCATTCCCCAAACTGAACCTCCTGCTGCTAGAGTAAACTAAGCTTGTACCTCCCACTTTCCAAGCCAAGGCTATCATTACATGCAAGCTACCCTACTTAAGCAAGCGTTCTCTTGATCCATTCTGACGCCACTGACGCTTCTCTGACAGAATAAAACTTTCCTTAGTAAACGAACACAATATTCCAACCTAATTTTCAGAGCACTCGTATGAAAAAGGAGGGGTCTTTCTGATCTCTGCTCCAATCAGTTCTTAACATCGTAAGTCCATAAAATGTAATTAGGCAAGAATTAAGCCCTTAAATCTCTCAGTAAATCGTACTTTTCCGCTGGAAACTTGACAGTTATCAAATTCACTTTAAAATAACTTAAAAATGTATTGAACATAATGCCAGCGATTTTGACTACCCATGATACAGACTCCACTTGAACCAGCAACTTAGAATAATCTCCAACGGTCTGAATATTCAGTCAGCTATATATTTTAGAACTGAACAGTAACTACACGAATTAAATTACTAAATTCAGTGTGCACATGTGCATGTGCACACCCCCCCTCCACAAAGGACTCCAAACTGCAGGTAACTTTAAACACACAAAAAAGAAAAAAGGAAGCCTATCTCCCATTTACAGTAAGACTATATTTAAATCAACACAAGCTTCTGAGAGAACACTGTTCTTGTTTAAGATTGGGGGAGGGAAGAATAAAATCAATGAAACATAATTAATGAGACATTATGGCTATTCAGAGAATCCTTCCTTTCCAAAGAGCACCACAGCAAGTCCTCTGAAATACCACACTTCCCTGAAACCTGTACTCACCAGTTTTTACACCGGATGTATACTGATGCTGCCTTGTCATAATATTGTCCCTTTTCATACAGCTGAGCAGCTTCTGAAAATTGCTACAATATTAGAAATCATTAAAATATAATTTCTAAATTAAGATTACAAATAAATAAATAGCTTAATGAATTCATATATTCAGCCTTAGCTTTATTAACTCTTTTGAATACCTTCATACTCTCCAGAATAGCTCCACAGTCTTTTTTTAGTAACCTACTGGGATGTTTAATGGCCTGGTTTACCCCTCGACGGATATCTCCCATTCGAATGGACATCTGAGCCACTCCAGCAAGGCAAGCTTCATCATGTTCCTGGGATGCAATCAAACGAAAAGCATTAACTGTACATTATATATCAGAAGTACCAGGTCACAAAAGCTACAGTAACCAACCACTAAAATTAACAAAACATTACATGGACTTAGTTAAATCAGTTTTTGCCTCAAAATTCTTGCCGAGCTGCAGCTGTCACTTACTTAGAAGAACTCAGCTTAGCTTAGTTTTCTTCTTCAGCTATGTCTTTAACTTTTACATTTTACTTACAAGATTTGTTGAGACCAAGCATACATGAGAAGAATCTGTTTTACAGACAGCTCAGTTCTACTCTCTTCTTTCCTCCAAAACCAACAGCAGAGAAAAAGAGAAACTATAAGCAGAATATTTCCTTTGGTGTTTTTTTTGGTTGGTTGGTTGGGGTTTTTTTTGGTTTTTTTTTGGTTTTTTTAAAGGTTGTAAAGCCACTGATGTTTCATAAAGCCAAATGGCTTGAATTCAGAAAACATTGCTACTTCCCCTATTATGCTACCCTATTACCATTTAAAATGCTTCGTAATAGACATTTTGCAAATATTAGGGGAAAGAATGCCAGAATAAGGGAGGATCTACTGAATATGTTTATTTTCTAACATGATCCTTGCCTGTCTTTCTGTAGATAACAACTCAGTAAAGAAGAACAGAAGGAATAGTATAACATCCTAGCAATATTTTTCTCTGACATTTGCATGTCTATTAAGAAACTGCTCAAATAATAAAAACCTAAGTCTAGTTATGCCATGTTAGCACAATGTCAATACTGCTTTATAAGTAAAGCACTATTCTGTATATTAAAAATAAAGAGAAGTGCAAAGACTACTATCCCAAAAGCAATGGTCATAAAAATTTAGAGCTGAATAAAAAGCCATCTGAATTCAAGTAACACACAACAATTTAATGTGCAGTATGATAACACAAATGCTATCATTACTAAAAAGGAGTTACCTTATTGTTTCCAGTGATTCCCTTCTCATAATGTGCCAGAGCATTAACATAATCACCCCTGAAAGAAAACTGGAAGTTATTTGGAAGAATATTTTTAATAGGAAGAGATGGTTACCTTCCTACCACATAGATTATGCATGTATCTGTTTTGCTTCAGATGTAACAACTGTTACACTGTGAAGTATGCAAAAGACGGACAGCTACAGAGCATGTCACGGCACTTTCTGTGCACTTTATCAAGCTATTAGTTAAAGAGGCAGTCCATCTCTCAGTTCTGTTGTACTGAGACCAATAAACCTCCCTTGAAAGACAGGCAAAGAATCTACCTGCACAATACACCTCAATAATCTCATCTCTACTTCCACATGTTTTTTTTTCTGGGAGGTAAACTAAACTAACCTTCTAAAATTATTTAGAATTTTTGCAACATAAAAATGAAGACAATTTTTTTCCTTAAGTACATTCAGAACTCAAATTACAGATGGTTGCATTGTTCAGCTGCCTCCATTCTTTCCTTTCTATGACAAACAAGTGTCCCCTCTCAGTGCCAGCGACACTTCCAAGGGGAAGGAATTGTATTCATAAGAGTTTTTAATCTTGATTTAGACATGAAACAGACCAGATTCCATCTGGGAAGTATTAGCTGTAAACTAGCTTTAAAATCATAGCAAATGGTTAATATCTTCTCTCTTTCAGGGACTGGTAGCCTTGACATTTGACACTCTACCTAAAATATGTAAGAAAATTAAGGCTACTGGGTATTTTAGGAAAAGACAGGCAAAAAACAAGGCTTTTGTCCAATTTAAGGAGCATCAAAAAAAGTGTGAACTTTCTCTATTTTCCAAGCACTTGTCTGCAACAAAGCATTTATTTAGTGGATTATATTATTATAGAGTGAATCTACCAGTTGAAAAGAACACAGATACACTGAAATTAATCAAAAGTAACTATTATTTGCTAACATACATCTCTACCATGAAGTATTCCTTACAAAACTACTCTTCCTCATACTACAGAATCATAGAATCGTTAGGGTTGGAAGGGACCTTAAAGATCATCTAGTTCCAAACCCCCTGCCATGGGCAGGGAAAACATCCACTACACCAGGTTGCCCAAAGCCT